AAGTAGACGCGCTTGCCCCGCTTCCTCAACCGACCCAAAGGCTCTTTTAAGAGCCGCCTACTTTTTCAAGAAAGAGCTTAAAGTCTCGAAAAGGTTCTAAGTGTCTCGTCCCCGATAATGGGCTGCTAATAGGTATGTTAACTTCAATTTGCCAGGTGATCATGGCATGTCTACTAGTTTGTTTCTGCCCTCCACATTGCTCTATGTTCATTTTGCTGTGTGTCTGAAGAAGTCCACGATATATTTTGGAAAGTAAATCATCTGGGTCTCCTACACTTGATGTATGCATCAATGCACAAACGTCTAATCAAAAATCAGAAGGAATCATTGAAAATACTGTCTGTACATCAATTCAATGCATTTAAAATCATGTAAAGTGCACTTTTATTTATATTTTAAGAGTTCAAACTGAGCTTACATTCTGAGACTTACAATAAAATCAGGGTTAAAGCTACTGTTTTAACAACTGCATTTTTTAAACAAATGCTTGGTTCCTCTCTGAGTGAATAGTATTTCTAAATCTGTAGGATACAGTTTTTCAGACCTGTGCCAATTATCCCTCCTGTTCTATCAATAGGCCTTTAATTAACCTATGGTACTATAGTATTTATAGAAGAGGATATATGTAGCTCAGGGTTGAATTGTGGAGTCCTTGGGATTCTCTGAGCTTGGTTGTTTTCCTGCAAACATTTCATTACTGGGCTAGGTAACATTTTCAGTGCACTGAAGATGTTACCTAACCCAGTAATGACATGTCTGCAAGAAAACAACCAAGCTCAGAGAACCCCAAGGACTCCTCTACAGTATTTAGCTGTGGTTTGCTTTAAGCCTATCTGAAGTAGCTACTTTTTTAGAAATACTGAGAAATTCAGTTAAAGAACTAAAAGGTAGTCACTGAGCTAAGAATTATTCCATAATTATATCAAAACTTTAATCATGTTTTAGGTAAAGGGCATTAACTATTTTAAAATCAGTGGTGTTTCTACTCCATACTACCACAGGCTGCAATCCCATAAATATGCTGTGTGATTCAACTTTTTTTAAAAAGGCATATCCTGAATGGGTAGATATTACCAGTAGTTTGATTCTTTTAACACTATAGGATGTAACACTGTATTGTGTATATTGTTAAGAGGAACTTATACAGGTCTTTTCCATATAGTTAAAAAAAAGTTTTGGGAGAACCACCAAAGAATGGTTCAAAAGCTGATGTTTTATCTAAAAAAAATGAAATTTCCTTTCTTGCCATGATAATTTCAAACATATTCAAAGTATAACCGAGTAATAAAGTCTAGAACACACAAATTCCAGAGTAAAACTGCATACAGTATATAAAAGTCATTTTTATTTTAAGAGGTATGAATAACAATTTATATAAAATCATAACATGACACACATATATGTACAGTCGAGTGAAAAAGAAAGTACACCCTCTTTGAGTTCTTTGGTTTTATGTATCAGGACATAATAAAAATCATCTGGTCCTTAGTAGTTATTTAGTAGTAAATACAACCTCAGATGAACAACAACACATGACATATTACACCATGTTATCATTTATTTTACAAA